TCCTCAATCTCAGTCTTAAATGAAAATACAAATTGCATTGCATGCATGCATGTTATTCTCTACTTAAAAGCTCTCTTCTTCTTTACAAAACTAAGAGCTAAGGTACTAACTTTTACTTCCCTACAGGTTATAAACCATGGAATATCATCATCGGTGGTTAAAGATGCCTTAGATGCAGCAACACAGTTCTTTAACTTACCTGTGGAGGAGAAGATGCTTCTAGTGTCTGCAAATGTTCATAAGCCAGTAAGGTATGGCACAAGCATCAACCATTCAACAGACAGAGTTCACTACTGGAGAGATTTCATTAAGCATTACTCTCATCCTTTATCAAAGTGGATCGATATGTGGCCATCGAATCCTCCATGCTACAAGTAAGTAAAATCTATCTATAGGCCAGCTTCAATATCTCAATCTTCGAGTGAAAACTGATATAACTTTTTGTTTATTTTAGGGATAAAGTGGGTAAGTATGCAGAGGCGACGCATGTGATGCACAAGCAATTAATAGAAGCTATCTCCGAAAGCCTAGGACTGGAGAAAAATTACTTACAAGAAGAGATCGAACAAGGGTCACAAGTTATGGCAGTGAATTGTTATCCAACATGTCCAGAACCTGAACTTGCCTTGGGAATGCCACCACACTCAGACTTCGGCTCACTGACAATCTTACTTCAAAGTAGCCAGGGACTCCAGATAATGGACCGCAACAAAAACTGGGTTTGTGTACCGTACATTGAAGGAGCGTTGATAGTCCAGTTGGGAGATCAGGTAGAAGTAATGAGCAACGGCATATACAAGAGCGTGATTCATCGTGTAACAGTAAACAAAGACGTCAAGCGGCTATCTTTTGCAAGTCTTCACAGTCTACCTCTGCACATGAAAATAAGCCCAGCACCAAAGCTCGTCAATGAAAACAATGCACCTACCTATGGAGAATTTAGTTTCAACGATTTTCTTGAATACATCTCGAGCAATGATTGTATACAGCAAAGATTCATCGATACACTTAAAAAGAGCAGTTCCTGAAGATGCCCCCCAAAAGAACAACAGAGTTCAACAAGGCAATTTTCATCGCTCGTCTTTTGAATTAAGCTTACGATTTAGTTCACACGGGTTTTGTCGAACTAAGGTGCAGCATCCCGGTTGTATCTACTCTATGCACGTAACACCAAACCGAGTAAATTTCCTGCACGTAAACAGATAATCCGTTGTTTATATCGCATAAAAAGCGTAATAAAAGAGTTCAATTCTTCTTCTCTGAAAATGTTTAGATTTTTTCTTCGAATACTTTTCGATTTGTTTCCTTATGAAGTAATTCACTTACAGTGAAGAAACATCAACGTTATAGTATCTTTGTTTCTGGATATATCACATTACAAATTAGTTTTGTTGAATCAGTAAACAAAAAGTGAACCTTATTGTATAAGATACAAAAGCACAAGTACAGTTCATAATTTGAGACAAATGATTCAATCAGCTATACACATTATTGCGAACCAAATTTGAATTAGGGATTTGGAATAAACCACAATCTACTAAGAGACTCGCATTCATATATCAAAATTGAGACAAAAATCCACCAGTAAATTTCCGAATTCTCACAAACTATAATCATCCAAAATCTATCGAATTTCTCGATCTAGGAGAAAAGGCCGATCGCACAAAACATTCACATCGATCGATACTTACAGGAAAATCTTTGAAAAGATCTCACCGGAGATAAATCAACGTTGCGCGTAATTTCCCGTTAAGCTACGGCTTCGTCCTCTCGAATCCCGGCGGCGATTTCTGGCTCCGGACCATTTTTTTTTCTTTTTCATAGCGGTCTCTGCAGTTTTTTGTTTTTGTTCTATTCACCGTAAATTTTAGAAACTTACCGTAGTTTATCTCTTTTACGGTTTTACTCATGTTTTTAAATAGAAC